ACAGCCATCTAACACTCAACAATATTAGAGGCGCCTACCATCGTCTTGTACCACATACTGCATGGGCAGCAAGACTTAGCCGAACATACTCCCTCCCTCTCACTTGTAAGGTCATCCCTTCATCTATAAAAAGGGATGCGCTCTCTCCCAACAGATATGGGTTGATTAGGACTTCGAGATTCATTAGATCGATCAAGTTCACTAGCACACAACAACGGAACCATCAGAGGTTCAAACCACGACACACGCAGTTATACTTTAGCTCATAGCCAAGCTCCCGTTGCTCTCGGCCCTTCCAACGGACCTCCCTGTACCTTCCATCTTTCTCCTTCTCGTTTGTAACCCCACTGCAAACTTCGAGCAGCTGGGCTCAGGAATAAAATCACCCGACCCGACTCAAACTGGGACCGTAGGGCACGCTCATTACTGAACCAAGATAAACCTTTGTGTCATTGAGTGCTAGGCCACCTCCGATCACAACGCACGGCAAAACTACAAATATTTACTTGTTGGTCACTTTCCGCACCGACACATAGTAATGGGCAATACTGTTGCCATCTTTGGGTGCAACTCATAGCTTTTGTTATCCTCGCCAATAGCGTATAGTAAGTAACGATTGGTGTTAACCCTGGAAAGGATTAGTACCATTAGGTAAGTGGAAATATCAATTCAATCATAACAGTTCTGTTTTGTGCTAACCTAGATAGTGACGACATTGCCTGACTTGGTTTCATGTGCATCTTGTACAACTCTCTGGCCACTACATAATAACAATGAAAAGTGCAAGTCTCTTTCACATATAGTGGCACATACCAAGGATAGACCATATTAACTTGCAAGCACTTTGTCTTCCGACATTTACAATGAACACTTAAAATCCAAGTGGTAGTAAATGTAGTTCAGGGCAAATTTTCATAATAAGGTCCAATGAACATGTATATATTGAGATAATAGTCCATACCTATGAAGCCATGAGTTATAGTATTGCTCCTCAAGAGCACGAAATCCCTGAACGGAATTTGAGGATGTTAAGTACACAACTTTACCAATAACAACAAAGCCTTTTAGTCCCAAGCAAGTTGGAGCAGTCTAGAGTTGAAAAAAAATACAGCCAAGTTTAAAACATGTTTTGTCAAGATCTAAATCAATTATAGGAAAATAATCAGGTCTCTCTTGCAGAAACAAAATTATCATTGAATCCATTGTCGGAAAGGAACCAACTCGCATATACTTCAACAAACCACGGTTCTAATGAGCATGTGGTCATGTCTTTTAAAATGGGGAGAAATGAAATCCAAAGTACCTTGGTTCAAGAACATCTCGAAAAGATTTTTGAATTTATTGAAGAAGTATGCCGATATGTCTTCTCGTTTCAATATGGGTGATGCCTCTTGAAGTCACGACATTCAAGCATGTGGTAGGCTTCTCATTGTCAACATTTAAACCCACACGATTAAGATCAAAGGAATCCCATCCTTGTCAAAAGAAAC